CGGGCGCCGGCCTTGCCGGCCTCCCGCCGGGAGGGCCCCCGCCTCGCCGGCAGCCGGGGCTCGCCCGTATGGAAGGGCAGTGGTACCCGCCAGCGACCTTTCGGTAAAGGTGGCGGCTAAATCCGAGTTAGAAAAAGGAGGGAAAATCGGTAAAGCCTGCTTAGAGATAGCTTTTCCGAGGCGGGACAACGTGCTGGCGTTTTCTTGCTCTACAAATAGATCTTTTTTTTTTGTTCTTAGTGAAAAACGGACCCCGATGGCTTCCACGCACGCTTCGCAGCCTTCAAAAAAAACGGTGGCCGCTCAAGTGCCTTTTGCGGATCTGTGTGCTACTCTGGAGCGAATGCAGACGTGTAAGCCTCGTCCGGAGAAAACCAAGTATTTCAAGGATTTTCTGGACTCCTGGAGAAAATTCCACGGTGCTCTTCATCAGAAGGAGAAGGACGTCACAGATTCTTTTTATCCAGCTATGCGACTTATTCTTCCGCAGTTGGAAAGAGAAAGGATGGCATACGGAATTAAAGAAACTATGCTTGCGAAGCTGTATATTGAACTGCTTAATTTACCAAAAGATGGAAAAGATGCTGCAAAGCTGTTAAACTATAGGACACCTGCTGGCTCACGTGGAGATACTGGAGATTTTGCAATGATCGCATACTTTGTGTTAAAACCTAGGAGCCCGAAACAAGGCAGACTGACAATAGAACAAGTCAATGAACACTTGGATGCGATAGCTAATAATAATGCTGCTAAAAACAAGGGTCTGTTAAAGAAAAGTCTTCTTCAGTTAATTACCCAGAGCACAGCACTGGAACAGAAATGGCTCATCCGCATGATTATAAAGGATCTGAAGCTTGGAGTTAGTCAACAAACTATACTTTCCATTTTTCATCCTGACGCTCTTGAATTACACAATGTCACAACTGATTTGGAAAAAGTTTGCAGACAACTGCATGATCCCAACGTCTCACTTAGTGATGTTTCTATCACATTGTTTTCTGCCTTTAAACCAATGCTTGCTGCTATTGCTGATGTCCAGCAAATCGAGAAACAAATGAATAACCAGATATTCTACATAGAAACTAAGCTGGATGGTGAGCGTATGCAGATGCACAAAGATGGAGATGTGTATAAATATTTTTCCCGAAATGGGTTTGACTATACTCAGCAGTTCGGCGCTTCCCCCCTTGATGGTTCATTAACACCATTTATTCATAATGTATTTAAGAGCAATATACAAAATTGCATTCTCGATGGTGAAATGATGGCTTACAATCCTGAGACACAAACCTTTATGCAAAAAGGAAACAGATTCGACATAAAAAGAATGGTGGAGGACTCTGATCTGCAGACCTGCTTCTGTGTGTTCGATGTATTGATGGTTAATGATCAGAAGTTGGGGCACGAAGTACTAAGCAAAAGATATGAAATCTTAAGTAGCGTATTTACTGCGGTAACGGGCAGGATACATGTTGTACAGAAAAAAAGTGCCAGAACAAGAAAAGAAGTAATTGATGCTTTAAATGAAGCAATAGATAACAGAGAGGAAGGGATTATGGTGAAAGATCCCATGTCCACCTACAAGCCTGACAAACGTGGGGAAGGCTGGTTAAAAATCAAGCCAGAATATGTCAATGGACTGATGGATGAACTAGACCTTTTAATTGTTGGTGGTTACTGGGGGAAGGGCTCACGTGGTGGAATGATGTCTCATTTTCTGTGCGCTATTGCAGAGACGCCCCCTCCAAATGAAAGACCTACCATTTTCCGCTCTTTTTGTCGTGTTGGCTCTGGCTATACTATGAAGGAATTGTATGATTTAGGTTTGAAACTGGCTAAACACTGGAAGCCCTACCATAGGAAGGACCCTCCCTCTAACATCTTGTGTGGAACTGAAAAACCTGAAATGTACATTGAACCTTGCAACTCTGTCATCGTTCAGATCAGGGCAGCTGAGATTGTTAACAGTGATGTGTACAAAACTGACTGTACTTTGAGATTCCCCCGAATTGAGAAGATAAGAGAGGACAAAGAATGGTACGAGTGCATGACTTCAGACATGTTAGAAGATCTCAGAAGCAAAGCAGAAGGGAAGCTGGCATCTAAGCACCTTCATATGGATGCATATGATGAGCCACAAGAGAAAAAAAGGAAAACTGTATCAAAGGTGAAGAAGGTGATTGGAATAGCTGAGCAATTTAAAGCTCCTGATCTTTCTGGTGTAAACAAGGTTTCAAATGTATTTGAAGATGTTGAGTTTTGTGTTATGACGGGAACAGGCAAGTACTCAAAGTCTGAACTGGAAAGCAGAATAGCCGAATGTGGTGGCAGTGTGGTACAGAACCCGGGGCCAGAGACTTACTGTGTCATTGTAGGAGCTGAGAATGTCAGAGTGAAAAACATCATTGCTTCCAACAAATACGACGTGGTGAGGGCAGAGTGGCTCCTTCAGTGTTTTCAAACCAAAAAGCTGGTGCCTTGGCAACCGGCCTTTATGATTCACATGTCTCCTGACACAAAAGAACATTTTGCTTGTGAGTATGATTGTTATGGAGACAGCTACACAGCAGACACAGATGTTGCACAACTCAAGGAAGTGTTCTCAAGAATGAAAGACACTAAGGTGATGCCTTTGGACATGATTACAGAGTTAGAAGAGCATTATTCGTGGAACAGCTGTCAGCTCAGTATATTCAGAGGAAACACTATTTATGTGGACTGTTATGCTGTTGTTAATGAGCCCAGAACCAAAATCCATGGAACAACACTATCAGTTAGGGCTTTGGAGCTCCGTTTTTATGGTGCAAAAGTAGTCTCTCACCTTGAAGAGGGTGTCTCCCATGTTGTTATAGGAGAAGATCGTTCCCGGGTACAAGAGATGAAAGCACTCAGAAGAACATTTGGGAAAAAATTTAAAATTGTATCTGAACTGTGGGTAACACAGTCAGTGGAGGGAGGAGTCCTGAAGAATGAAAATCAGTACTTAATTTAAAATAGTTTTTAAGCTTGGAGCAAAAGCATTCTTGTTGGCATGATTGGACTTGGATATTATGAGGTTACCTTACATTTTTTGTGTGTTTTCATGTCTATTTAGAGCTGGCTCTGGCTAAAGGATAACACTGTGTTGTTGAAATCGGAGGAAGGCTTTTAATTATACTGTTGCGGAAGCAAGAGGATGCTAAGCTCTTGGAGAAGAAAAAAAAAATACCACAAGATAAATAATGTAAGCCTTTTACTTCACAAACAGGTCTCAGGAGAGATCTAATATTTTATATAAGAGAATTCCTAGCTTTTAATAGTGCTTGCCTCCATTGTTCAAAATGGAGACAATAATTTACTGTTTTATGGAGATTCTCCTATTTAAAATACTGCTTATTTATCAATTTACAATCACATTCATGTTTTTGTGGAATTGTTTTGTGTATATTCCATACGCTATAGAATTCAGTAACTTATAAACCTTGTCCGTACTATTTTAATTTGTTTGCATTGGTTTTAGCATTACGCCCCGCACAGCCTCAGTAGCGCTTCGGTTTTAGGATATTGCATTGATCTCATGTTTCTTTGTGTAAATAATGGTTGTAAAATAGAATCTAAACTTCTGATTGAGGTGCTGATGAATTAGTAGTGACCTATATATCTGTAAAATACAAAGCAGTTACTTAAAAACTGTAATGACCTCCTGTGCTCATTACAGTTGCAGTTAAACTGCAAAGTGTGACAGGGGAAGGCTTTTACACTTAATTATCAGTTTATCTTTCAAAAAGTGTTTCATAAGCTATTTCAGTAATGTAGGATTAATTTCCAAATATCCAGTTCAATGTATATTTTTTTCAATTATTAAATAAAATCTATTTTTAAAGTCTGTTTGTTTTTTTTTTTTTTTTTTTTTTTTTTAGTGAGAAGTAACTCTTTTGAAAAGCACAAAACTTAGTTTCCGATTTTACTCTGTTAGATAATTTATGCATTAACTTTGAGGAGAGAAAGGTTGAGGCCTCAGTTCTTGTTACATCAATACTGGTATCAAACAGAACTGCTGTTGGGCTGATCACACAGAACCCGTTTTTGGCTGACTTGTTTCTTCAGTGCTTTTTGTGGTTGTGTTCATATAAAAAATTACTGTAAAAAGAATTGGGAAATGTTATATGAAAGGCTAGTTGGAAGGAAGTTTATTCTTACCTCTTATAGTTGGTGTAAACATTAGGAGCTCCCTTATTATTTGAAATATACTAAATAGGTAAAATGTAATAACTACTTTTCTGAAGTTACCATATAAATTGCTAAAAAGCAGAATATTTTTTGTATACATAAAATAGTATATGCTGAAAGACAGTGCATCATTTTTCCTCTAATAATTCAAGCAGAAAATTAGTATATGTGAAATACAACACTTCAGTTTTAACTTAATGGGCTGCTTCTGTGTAACATCATATATTCTGACTTAGAAAATGAGAAGAGAGTTTGTCTTCATACCCACACAGATTTCTCTTAAAAGGGTTTTAGTAAAATATGTATTTTAGGTGATCCTGGTTAGGAAAGTTAAGAGAAACAAAGGCAAATACGAATTACAGCTGACTCTTGAGACATTGTCAAATACGTCACTTTGAGATCTAAACGTTATTTACAGAGATGTATTTTAAAAGTATTGATTCCATGTCTTTTTGTTCTCTTAAAGCTATGCAAGGCTGGAGAATCTAGAACTAGTAACTATCAACAAAATTGTTATTCTTTTTCCTGACTCCTCAGCACAGTGTAGCAAAGGCTTATTTTTAAATGTATTTAAACTGAAGGCTTACTTTTTCACAAATTAAAAAAAAACAACCTTGCACATGCAGTATGCTGGTTTAGCTTGTATTTTGCCTCAGTTCCAGTTAGAACTAGAAATTAAATGTTAATCATGCATATTTGTATGTGGCATGATAATTAGCATACTGGATAATGTCAGGCAATTTAGATGGCATGTATTTCTTCTTTTGGTTACTGTTTTGCAAATTACATTTACTTTAAAAGTTGAATAAGAAATGCTGTACTTCGTATGTCAGTGTAAAAAGAGAATCTTGCTACTACACTGTAAAAAATACAGGCATTGCAGGTCAGGTTTTCTTTTGAGATGTTTCTTTTACATGGCGACTTAGGTGGATGGACTCCATGGATCTGTGCATGAAACTGGACCCAGCTGTTATTAAAGTTATGTATCTAGAATACAAGCCAGGGGACAGGAGAATCCATGGATCCTCTAAGCAAAGGCATTGTGATGGGAGAGTAGTAGTGGCAGGAAAATAATTAAGAGAAGTAAGGAAGAAGTTTGTGAATCTGCTTAGTTTTAAGGAAATTCTGATTTGTACTGAAGAAGCAAATGAAGGCTGGAAATTATTCAGAAAGTAAGAATATGTTGTCCAGACACAAAAGTCAAGTTAATTCGGGAGGTATGCAGAGAATTTCAGCTGTGATTTCTAAGAATGAATATAAGACAAGATTTGTAGGTAGCAGTAAGAGCTGCTATGGATCAGCAGTGTCTGTGTATGAAAAAATGTCTTTATTTTGTTTGGTCTAATAAAAAAAAAAGTTTTGACATATAAAACTAGCCTTTATTATCAGGTAATCATCATTCATTAAAAGTAGTGTTCAAGAAAGAGGAAAAGGTGGAATCAAAATGCTGAAACATTAACCTGATGTTTGAACTTCCAGAGGACCTCCTCTGATTACAAAACATCAGCCTATTGTATTTTTTACTGCAATAAATACTCCCATTTTCTTAATTACATTTAGATCTTTGAAAATAGGGATTTTGTAGGTGAAGATTTCTTAGCTTATTTATGTTTTGTGCAAAGCTGATTTTAATTTTTTTTAAATAGGCACTTGTCTTGAGAGCAAGACTTCCAATTTGCCTTGTAGTATAAAGTTTATTTTAAGATGATATTCCTGAAGAAGTGGCGAAAGAACGAAGAGAATGAGGGACTGTAGACCTTGCAGTTTGTGGGAAGTAGAGAAGAGTTTAGTATTGTTCCTATTTACTGGCTTTTAACTGGCACTTTTCAATAAAGCTGCCAGTGATGGAGAAAAAAGAGTGCAACTTTCAGGACCTGCTGTAGCAGAACATCTGGTAGGTGCCCGTCCTGTTTGCAGCTGTTTGTTGGTGAATGATGGTTTGATTTCTTTGCTAGTTAAAACACAGTTCTGCACAGGCAATAAACTTCACAATCCCTGGGAGAAGGTTCCACTGTTCACTTTTATTAAACAATTTATTAAAACAGGTTCACATCTAACTTTTTTCTGCTTTGAAAGGCATATGGTCAAACTGATGTAGTGCAATTTTGGAATTAAAAGCCTGTGGGCACCTTGCACAAAGTATGAGAACTCTTGCCAGGGAGCAGTATTTTTCTTATTTCTTCATATGATTTCTCTGACTTGTCAGTGGAAACATAGTGTGTGTTGACCATACAGAGCTGGTGAAATCTCAGATGTTCTCATACGTTAGAATATACACCTTGGTTTCACATTTAATGATGTAAAATGAAAGACTGGGGCTTGCTAGTATTGTAAATGTTTATGCCAGCCAAAAGCCTAAGTAGCTGACATTTAGAAGGCATTGGAATATGGTACTGGCAAGGGCTGTTTATTCCTAGGATAACTTACTGAATTCTTCTAATTCCACTTGGAATGTGCCTGCCTTGTTAAGCAAACCACAGGTATCTGAATAAGCTGAAACCTAAACATACGAAGAAAAACTATTCACTGGGGTGGGGAGGGGTAGGGTTGCCTTCTAGAACATGAGTTGTTTGTGCACTAACGGGAGAGCGAGCAAGCCTTGACTAGTCGTTAGGTGTTTGCACATAAGCACAACTTTAATTAGCCCCCTTGCTTTATTTCACATTTCTTCTGCTTGTGCTTGTACACTGAAAATAATTAACTGACATTTTTGGTATTTTAAGGGGCTTAAAAGGATCTTACTTTTGCATCTGCAGATAGGATTTAAAATAGTCTTGCAAAATATCATAGTATTAACTGTTTAATTATCCTTTGAAGACCTGAAAGCTGATAATACTGAAGGTAACTGTGCATATACAATAGATTGCAACCTGTTGACTGTGTTGAAGATGTATTATCCTAGCAATTTTACATTTAAAGTGTTGTAAGTAGTAGCACTGGAGAAACTCTACTCCATGGATGAAAAAAGCTTCCGTCTCTTTTTACTACAACTTAGCTGTAGTATTATGGTAGCTTTGGGTCTCTTTATGCGACTCTATTGTAAGTGTAGTGAATATCAGAACCAAATTCCTCCATTTCCCTCCTACTTTTAGGAAGATAAATTGCTGGAGAAAGAAATGCAAGAAGCTTCAGTGAGTCAACATGAAACACTACCTATTTTCATATACACTGGTCTTTATACATACTGTATGAAATGGTCACAAACTAGTTAAATGAATATTTTAGATAGGAGGCCATAAATAATGTTTTGCATAAAATAGGATGAAAAGTCATTATTTAAACAGTTAATGAAAACCATCCCCTCCCAGTTAATCAATTTATATTTTCTTTTTTTTTTTTTAAGAACAAGGATGATCCACATATTTAACCTGTCTAGCTAAACTATGTTGTCAATTTATTTTGATATTTGGCATACACCAACAATAATAACTTCCAAGGGAAACTATTTCAACCACACACATGAGCAGGATTTCTAGTGTGCAGGAGCTTCACAGATGGGAAGGAGCAATCGGAGCCCTCGGTGCCCCTGCCTCCTCCTGGGGCATGAGTGCCTGTGCTCAGGGCCAGCTCTCTGTGGTGTAGCTGTATCACCTTGCTCGGACAGTTGTGAAAATTGCTGTGTGCAAAAAGAGTTGTTTAGTTTGGATGTGAACTTCTTTCCAGGACTGAATTAAAAAATTGTGGAAATCTTACAAATTTTTACCATAGTACATCTGTTTGGTGAAACACTTAAAAACTGTGTGGTCCCTGTTGCTCAATATCCAGTTACTCTTCCCTGAAATAATACATCTGTATGTTTTGAAAGAGTCTGCATGAATATCTTTGAAAAACAGAAGGTCCATTTATTCAGGTGAAATCAGCCAAAATCTCTGTCACCTATGGTAAATGACAGGTAAGGTGTATTATTCTGTTTATGGCACCTCAATATAATGATCTGGTGAGAGATTTTAAAAAGCTCTTTAGTTTGCTAGTGGGGTTAACACACAGTTTTTTATAATATTCAATCTTTCTGTTAAAAAAAAAAAGGTCATTTTATCTTTCCAATCCATATGTAATTTCAGTCTGAATTCTTTCAAAAGAGGGACTTGAAGTTCTAAGTTATAAAATTTCTTGAAAAAGAGAAAAAAATGTTCATTTGAAGGTGACTAGGGAAATGCCTTTCAACATAGTCAGTTCAACTGAGCATAAAGCATCTCCAGCTGGTAACAGCTGTTGTACCACAGAACAGTAGATGGGCCTATAAAATTTGACTGTACTGCTTTTTGCTCTAAGGGGATTGGAATGAGAGAACAGTCTGTAAGTTTGAATTATTATACAAGCCTAACACTGAAGGTGGAGCTTATAGGTATAATTAAAATGTTTCTCCATGTTATTTTCTAGAAGTAAGGAATTAAAAGGCATCCATCTTGAAATTGTTTTCTTTTAGATAAAATATATTTAGCATTTTATTGGGATGTTTTCAATAGATACAGCTTTTCCTTTCTTTGTAATTTTGGGGAAGGTTATTTTGA